CTGGGCCCTGAAAGGTTTGAGTTCATCCTCAAGGAACTGCGCGGCGCTCTTAGCAGGGGTCCCCAGCTGCACGTCTTGTCTTATACCCTTCATTCCATGCTGTTGGCTGTCATCCCTACCTTCAAGCAAGGCGATCTCGACTACTGCCTCTCTGCCATCATGGCGGTCATCATGGATGATATTTTTGGTGCTACGGGTCAAGAGAAGGATGCTGAGGATTATGTCAGCAAAATGAAGGAGGTGAAGAGCAGCAAGAGTCAAGACTCCATGGAGCTGATTGCCAAGACCGCGTCTATCACACGCCTCAGCGACCTTACCATGCCCTTGCAGGCGCTGTTGCTCGAGAAGCTTGATCTTAGGACAGCTCGCAAGATAGACGAGCTTCTTACCCGCATCACCAAGGGCCTCTTGGAGAACCCGGCGGCTGCCTCACAAGAGATCCTTGTGTTCTGCTATGAAGTCATGCAGGAAGTGTACAAGGCTCAGAAGCCAGAGGATGCGCCCAAGATGGATCCCCGCCTGAAGAGATACATCGTCCAGAAGGCCGCCAAGAGGGCTGATGGAGGAATTACCGCCAAGTATACGTTTAAGCTCATCAAATTCGCCATCGACATCCTTCGTGCTGTCCTCAAGAAGCACGATAACCTCCGCACAGCCAACAACATTGCCGGATTCATGCCTCTGCTCGGTGATGCTGTCTTGTCGATTGAGGAAGAAGTCAAGGTTGCGGCCTTCAGGCTGCTCACCGTCATCGCCAAGGTTCCCTTCAAGAATGGCGAATCCACTGCCCTCTACAAGGTGGCTATCAAGGAAGCTATCAAGTCCATGTCCCTGTCTCCCTCAACCGCGTCTGAGCTTGCGCAGGCAGCGTTGAAGCTCATCTCTGTCGTCCTCAGAGACAGGCGTGAGATTCCCATCAAGGAGGCCGCCCTCGATATGCTGCTTAGCAAGTTGAAGGATGACTTGACTGAGCCTCTCTACCGCCATGTCACCTTCAACTTCCTTCGCTCGGTGCTTGATTGTAAGATGGAGACGGCCTCAGTCTATGACACTCTTGACCATGTCGGCACTATCATGATCACCAACGACGACAAGGACACTCGGGATCTGGCTCGCGGTGCTTTCTTCCAGTTCCTTCGCGAATATCCCCAGAAGAGGAACAGATGGGAAAAGCAGCTCAAGTTCATCGTGGCCAACCTCAAGTACGAGCGTGAGGGTGGCCGCTTGTCAGTCATGGAGGTTATCAATCTCTTGCTCAAGAAGACGTCTGACGACTTCATCCAGGAGGTGGCAGCGACATGCTTCATCCCCCTTGTGTTCGTCCTGGCCAATGATGACAGCGAGAAGTGCAGACTCGCTGCCGCAGAGCTGATCAAGGAAACCTTCCGCGTGGCAGACAAGGAGCGTCTTACCAAATTCATGACTCTGATGCGCAACTGGGCCGAGCAAAACGAGAACATGGCAGTGCTCAAGCTCGCAATCCAGGCATTCGGACTCTACTTCGAGGGTCGCGAACCCACCTCCAAGGACAAGAAGGACGTCAACCTTGTTGTCGACAAGATTACCAAGGTTCTCGGCGATGAAGAGACCGTTCAGTCCAACTGGGAGCTTGTCGACACCAGTCTTACCACGGTCCAGACCTTAGTCGCCAAGCATCCCCAGAAGGTTTTGTCGCCTGCCTCTGATATCTTGTGGACCGAGGTCCGTGACACTCTTGCTCACGAGAACCCCACCGTGAAGCTCACCGCGACCAGGCTTCTCAGCATGTACCTCGCGGACTTTGCCCAGAACGCCGGCCAGCAAGCCCAAGCACCTCTCCACGGTTCTCACGGGCGCGAGCTAAGCAAGGAAGAAATCAGTGATCTCGTCCGCTTGGCACTCAGCACCTTCAACGTGCCCGAGGTTGACGAGCCGCTGGCTCACGAGGTCGTCCAGATCTTGCTCTTCCTAGGCAGCTACCTAGATGCCAAAAATACCGACGACGGGGCTGGTGCCGACGAGAAGGAAGACGAGTTGGAAGACGAGGCTGAAGACGAGGAGAACGGCATCCGCAAGAAGCACAAGAAGCCAGTTGACATGGGCTACCTCTTTTACAAGCTCGCCTCCATCATCCGCAAAGAACGCGCCGCCCGGCCCGAGATGCTCGTCTCCAAGCTCTCCGCCATGGACCTGCTCGAATCCTTCTGCTCGAAATCCGAGCCCTCCACTTTGCTTGGTTCCATCAAAACCATCATCCGCCCGCTTCGCAACCTGACCGACCCGTCCATCCCTGGCCCGTTCTCCTTGAACGACGTGTTCAAAACCCGCTACGAGCTGCTCAAGACGAAGGCTTTGTCGGTCCTGGATGTGCTGCAAAGAAAGCTGGGAAGCTCAGAGTATACTAGAGCGTTGTTGGCTGTTAACGAGGATATTCGCAAGAGGAGATCTGCTAGATCTAGTAAGAGAAAGATTGAGGCGATTACGGCGCCGGAAAAGTATGGGATGGAGAAGAGGAAGAAGTTTGAGAAGAAGAAGGAGAAGAGGAAGGAAAAGGGGCGGGAGGCGAGGGATGCTAGGCACGCTTTTCATGCTAGTTAGAGAGGGGGGAGGTGATAGAGGTGTTATAGGAGGAGGAGGAGGAGGAGGAGGAGGATCAAAAGAAATGGAATACCCAGAGGTCAGGTAATGTATGTTGTTGATTGTTGTTGGGTTAAGGTTGGGAAAAGGTAAATATCATATAATGGGAGTTTGGAAGCATTTTCTGGTTGCTTATGGGAACAACTTTTTTTCAGTTGAACTTGCCTCGCAACAAAAGACTACATGCTTCACTAGGTGATTTCCACACCCGCAAGATATATCACTGCCTAAGACAAACCGTAGTGCATCACATGCCATGATTCAGGCCGAATCCCAGATGGCAGTTCCGGAGCTCTTATCACTTGTCAAGAAATCAAATCGCAGTCGTGCCTCATGGTTTAGAATTACATGCTAAGCATCATCACTCCCGCCTCGTTCATTCGTCCATCAATAGCCCAGAGGTTAGGCCCTCCCTTACTCCTCCATCTTGTCCCCGCCCTCTTTCGTTTCCTCTTCCTCCTCGATGTCCTTCGCAGTCATGCGCTCCGCATACTTCTCCGCCTCCTTCCGCAAAGCCTCGGGCACCTCTTGGTGACGGCCCTTCGTGGGACCGTCCGCCCCGCTGATCCAGGTCATCTCGAGCTCGAACTCCTTGTCCTTGTTGTCGTCGTGGGCAACGTAGATAATGCGCGCCGCCTCCTTGACGGCCTGCTCCAGCGTCAGACTCGACTCGCCGTCGCTACTGAGGTCCAGCTTCTCGAGCTCCGCCTTGGCCGCTTGTCTGCCCTTGCCCGTCGCGGCGCCGTAGTATCCCCAGTAGAGGCCCGAGGGCTCCACCATGTACAAGAACGGACCACCGTGCTTCTTGCCCTCCACCTTGCCGCCGGCGCCGACGCTGGGGCCGCTGCCGACCTCGCCTTCCACGGGCGTATCGAGTTCGCTGTCGTAGCCGCCGATGATGGCCGTGATGCCGAAAGGTCGCACAGATTGGTAGAGCGTGTAGGCTTGCATGTAACCGCCCATGCGGCCGGCTAGGTCTTTTGTCGAGATGGGCGTCTTGTAGTTGTCGCGCCAGCCGCGCGCCTCGTCACGGGCGCGGTCCACGAAGTGTCTACCGTCGGGGATCATGCCGGAGTATACCTATCAAAGACGGATTCGCAGTGCGTAGTTAGTAATCGTCGAGCTAAATCAAAAGATAGTGAAGGTCGGGGTATGGTTCGTTCATGCGATGGCGGGGGAGGGTGGTGAAGCTGGCTCCTGCTGCCCCGCAGACGGTCGAAACTCGTGGATGAAACCTGCCCAAACAAAAAGAGACAGAAATATATCTACGTATACGTACAATGCCCAAATGCCTGTCGACTGTCGCAATGCGCTTGTTGGCGCCTTGCTTGAGCAGCTTGGATGTGATAACCTTCTCCGCCGCCAACACGATGCCGTCCTTGCAGCGGATGCCGATCGAGGTGCTGCCATTCTCAACTGCCTTCATGGCATATTCGACTTGGAAGTTGCGACCATCGGGGGAGAAAATGGAGTTGGCAAGATCGTAGCCTGTTCCTATGGAAGTCTGTTTGTTGTTGAAGGCGACTCTGTCAGTTTAATTTCAGGTTCGAGAACCATGGCTTCTTGCGCCCGGCTGTGGTTTGATCGTTTCGGAGATGGATGCCCGCTAACGAGGGACTGCCGGGGCTTGCAAGACGTACCATTATGCCTTAGTTGGGAAGGTGTTGATGTGCGATGCCGGTATTTGTTTGGGTTTCCGGTTTCAAAAGGATGGAGAGGTTCTCGTTGCGCTAGCTGGGGCTCAAGGTGGGTTGCTCAAGAAATGGGTCGTCGGGATCGCTTTATTTGAAGAGGTGATGGTGGTGTTGCTGGTAGCTGCTGCTGCTAATTGCTTCAGTTCAAGGTGAGCTCCATCAGGCAGCCTGGGAGCTGCGTAGCACAATTGCCCCGTAGCACCTCCCTCCTGCTCCACTGCCGTGCGGGACAGCAGCTTGGTCGTCCTGAGGCTGATTTGATGTGGCGTTTGCAACGCTTCATCCACGGAACGGCCAGCCTTGCACCTTTCCAGCCACATCCATTTCCTCACTGGCCCCGCCCACAAGTAGTGTATAATCTCCAGAAACACCCGACCCCACAGGCCGTCCCAGGAAAGCGGAAACGCCTCCTTTTTTGATGTAAACAAACCGTTGTATCACCAGCATATAACGCTTTTACATTCCCACGTAAACCACGAAATGGAATACGAAGCCCGCACAAAAATCAGGAGGACTTGCACCAGCTAGTAGGGTTGACGGAGCATCAGTCTACCATCAAATCTGACCATGACGAGAAAAACGTTGGATTGTTATCCCAGAAATTCTCTAAGCCCAGTCTTCCTAGGTCGAATTGACCAACCTGCGCCGGGCTGGGTAGAAGTGCACCACATCTATAACCAGGATATTTTGAGTGATACTTGAAACAAAAAGTTGTTTGTTTGGATAGAAGTAAAAGACCACGAGTAAACTCATGACCTCTACTTTCCTCAGACCAACGCACACAGCGATATATCGTAGTCAGCTGACAAATTAGCCTACCCGGCAAAGATATAGCTGTACATTCCCAATCAAAATAACGCCATACCTATGCCAAATGGCCTCCTCCATTGCTCCCGAATATACATAACACCTAGCTCAAAGCATCTCCTGATCATCCCTGTACGCCATAAATAGTCCGTACTGGTTTGCCATGGCAACTTGTTGCCTCCAGTCAACCCCCGCGTTAGCATAAACAGGATCGGAATGCGCAGGGTTAAACGTCGGGCCACCGGTGGCAATGGCGAGGGGGCGGCAGGCATCCTTGGTGCGTTCCACGGATTCAGCAAATGCTCGACGAGCGGAGTCTTCATACTCACGGCGAGCCATTTCCTCATAACCTGAAGCCATGTAGGGCTCCATTTCATGATGTGAGTCCGCCGCGATCCAACGACCGTCGCCTGCCTGAATCGGAGTTAGGGGAGTTCCATCGAGGCTCATGGTCACTTCTTGTTCAGCCGCCTGCTGCTGTTGCTGTTGCTCCCATCGGTTCTTGGCCAGGATCTCTTCCTGGTTCACGCTTGTCATACTCCAATCTAGTGTAGGATTATCGTTACGGTTTGTAGGAGGACAGTTGCGCCAAAGGTCAATCAGCCTGTAGCGCTGCGGATCGTCCACTGACTTGAAAAGCTGGAGCTGGGCACGGGACAAGCACGCTGTGTTCACATGGTGCTTTGTGAGGACAGCTTCAACTTCAGATAGTGCAGGCGGCTCTGAAGTCCTTCTGGGTGCAGGCTGTGCTGGTGGGGTGTCCTGGGTACGAACATGGGCTGAGTGGTTGTAGTGTGCCGAGATGTAGACAATCTTCGGTTCTTGATTCAGGACCTGGACTTGTGCGAGTTGCTGAACAGGCTCTAGGGACAAGTTCCGGGAAAAGAGAGCGGAAAGTTCGTCTTGTGAATGCATATTGATGTGGTTCTTGGAGGAATGTGAATCGTTTCAATTGTTGTTATTCTGTGATGTCATAAAAGATTGTTAGCATGTGAGACAAGCAAAATTTGTAAGATGTGACCAAAAGGTTGTGGCAGGAACAGCTTCGTTGTACATTACCTGAGACCCGGGTTGTTCTTTTCTTGTAGTCTTGACAATGCCTGTTGTTGGTTGGTTACACGGCCCTTCCTGCTGCGCAAGTTGGGCTAAGTAGAAGTGGTGATATCGAGCTAGCTGGCTGAGAAGCAAAACAGGAATTGACAGCAAGGACGAAGAGCTTGTACCGCGGCTTTCGAAACGGATGTATTCTAGTACAACTCGTTTTTATTATGGTGTCAACTATTTAAAGAAAAGTGAACGGTTCTCGGCCGACTCTTGAGATTACGAGTGACGGTGACTCGAGGGTGGAGTTTCAAGCGGTGTAGATACGATTTCCTTCCGCGGTATGGAGAGCGAACGAAGATCAAGGTGTTCGTGGTCTGGGATAAGCAACCAGAAATGGCAACGTGACTCGTCTAGTGCTTTGCCGCAGTTTCTCGGTCGTCAAACTTTGTGAAGTTTCGTAAGACTGATGCTTTCCGACTGGCTACCGTGATGTGTGTAGTTTTGAGGTGAAGAGAGATAGGGGAGCAAGATGAGGAAACAAAACTACAGATCATACGAGAGCGGGCGTGGGGAAGTTAAGACTTCTTGTTTGGGCAGGCAACCCGAAGATATCCTCGTGATGATGTGAACGAAAGTGCACGCACATTTGCAGGCAAGATCAAGGAGTGTTGAGAATGGAGGGGCAGGGCAGGCACACCTGGGTTTGGGACGGCGGGGAGGCGGGGGGGATGATTGCAAACTAGCGGTATTTGGGCGGCAGATACACCCCGTCAGGGCCGCTAGGCTCATGATGCGGCACCATCAAGAAAAGCCCGGTGTTCGAACAGACAAACATTGACCATTCAAGAAAGCCGATCATGCTTCGACGGATTCTCGCCATGGTGTAAACTGTGTGATACCAACACCGGGCCGCAAACAGCCTCGAGGGCCGAGGCCCCCCCCAAAAGTGACCAGATGCAGGCCCTGGACGCCGGTGGTTGCATGAATATTGCGCATCAGGCAGCAAAAAACAGTTTCCAGCATTTTCCTGAGACAATTGAGCGCAGACGGGTTTCGAAAATGTGAACTTCGGTGCAGTGTTTGGCGGTTGGGTTGGGCAGTCACACAGTCAGGCTGTTAGCGTCATCACTGCAATCATGCGTCCATCATGATCTGAATGAACGATATGAAACAACGGCTATCAATCGAACCTTTCCGCCCAATCACCAAAGGGGAGGTGACGCATATGATAAATCGGGATGATAGACTACTTCCCTCTCGTCGGGGGTAGAGCAATCATACTCGACAACACTCATATTGTCTTTCGTAGGCCGTACGGAGCATGAAATACGTCGTCAAGTTCGTGCCAATAATAAACTATCATCGACGAAAGGGAACAATCGAATGTTGGAAAGGGCAAAGTAATAACATGAGAAGGGTCCAGAACGTCGGGTGTCGCGCTGGAGACCAAGATCCCCGCTGAGGAAATGGCCCACAGGCGGTCGAGGCGGGGTCAAGGCCGGCCGGGCTCCATCGGGGTAGTAATCGTGGGTTGCAGGGATAGGCTTGACGAGCAGCCACGTGCAAGGCTGTCCAAAGCTTCTAATTGGGTAGCTATGGTCAAACAAGCCACATTTACCCGCCACGGATGACGTTGGTTGGTCTTGACACTGGGACGAGAACCCCAGGGACCATCTTTACAGTTCATAGCGGGAGCAGGTCAGTCATCCCTCCCGTTTTCACGTTCAGATCGATTAACCACTGCCCACCATCCATCTCTGGACGAATAAACAGCCATCGCAAGTGAGGCAGCCAATCGAACAGCTGACCCGTCAGTTTTGAGTCAGTGTTGGAGAGTTTGCCCCGGGAAGAGGTTCCCTCACATGGTTCAGCCGTGTGAAGTAGTTGGCTACCTTATCCACTTTACTTTTACAGTTGATTTGATCTATCTTATCGGGCATTCTCCTCGAAAGTCAACAGTCCCTTTCATTTATCCTATACACTTCCTTTGACTTTGACTGTATATCATTCATACTTCTAGACTTACAAGCAGCTATTGGCCCGAGCCACCCAGACTCCATCACGATGCCTTCAACTCGCCCTCCAAATTACTGTTAGTAAAAGAGACATCAGCTTCCTTGTCCTAGCACTCGCGCGGCAAGGCGGAGAGCTCACATGGCTTCCGATAGATACGATCCTAGGGCTTTCTCCAACCGCCTCGACAAATCAAATTCGTGATGCCTACAAACGGTATGACATCAGCTTTCCTATACACGACTACATACCACCCAAATGACCACCATCAACTAACAAGGTCCTGGCAATGGCGACAGCGCCGCCCTCAAGACGCACCCAGACCGTGTAGCAGCCGATGCGCCCGACCGCGCGGAGCGCACCCGTAAGTTCCAGCTAGTCAACGACGCCTACTATACCCTCTCCGACCCTATTCGGCGCCGGGAATATGACGAGCAGCGCAAGATCTTCGGCGTCGGTGCCGACTCCGTTCCACCATCGTCAGCGTCCTCATCCTGGGGCGGCAGTGCAGCCTCAGGGGGGAGCGGTGGAATGCCAGGCGGCTTCGATAATACCTCCGATCCCTTTGCCGAAGCGGACGCCGGTGCGGGCGGCGCCGGCACCAGCCCCGCCGGCCAAGCGTTCTCCTGGGCATGGAACTTTTTCACCAAGCGGAACCAGAGCAACAACGACAATGGCCGCGCGCAGCAGGACCGTGAGCAAACGCAAAACGAGCAGTTCGCCGATGTCTTCGAGGAGATGTTGCGCGAGGAAGGCATGGCGGAGCCTGACGGCACCAACCGACCAACGAACAAGTTCTGGAGCTTGCTAGGCGGAATCAGCGGTGGCGCGCTGGGCTTCATCGTCGCGAACGTGCCTGGTCTGTTGGCCGGCGTGGTTGCCGGGAACAGATTGGGTGCTATTAGAGACGCAAAGGGGAAGAGTGTCTATGCTGTATTTCAGGTAAGTGCCCTGGTTGTGGACTTTTTAAAACAAGATGAAGATTCGGAAGAAGACAGCGGTCTCGATTACGAATGACGACCTGTTGATGATCGGACATTAATTGGTTTTACCTCTTTTCTTCTTGTGGCAGGAACTCCCTCAAGACGACAAGGCGAGGCTACTCACCCAGTTGGCGGCCAAGGTGTTTAGCCATACAGTGGGAATCTGAACAGTATCTTCGATCTAGCTGGGCGTACCGGTTGTTGTTTCTCTTTGGGGTAAATATATGCACAGGGTTCATGATTGGGAATGGCTAGGTTTGTAGTTTGGAGTTTTGGTTGGGCTTAAGGGTAAGTTGATGACTTAGTACTCATATTCGATATTGGGTTTAAGATCGAGAAAGGAAAACAGATCGTAATACCAGATAACCCAAACGAGGGAACGAGGGCGCTCTTCAACCATACCTGACTCGGAATTCTGCGTAAATGGCTCCACTGTACTAGGCAATCTGAACCTTGACGGGTAGAATTTGCATCCCACCGACTTCCCATGCTTTCACCATGATGCAAAAAATATCACGAAGGTGTCAGCGTGCGTATAAAGTACAAATGACAAACAGCGAAGATAAAGTTATTGGAAAAAAGAAATTGGGATGCCTGAAGCACCTTCTAATCTCCGATCCACCCAGGGGTCGAACCTGGAACCTCCTGATTCGTAGTCAGACGCTCTGCCATTGAGCCAGCGGACCTTCAGATTTTGTTGAAATTTACTAAGCTGTCATAACTATAAACCCAACGAAGAGTAACTGTATGAAAGTGAACAAATTGCTGCAAACTGAGGCCATCAACTTGACATTGAAGACAGCTTGTCAACTATATATGCCATCCCTAATACGATGGTCATCTTCATAACCAAAATCACGAGTCCAACCACAACCTTCTTTTATTCTTTCCATCAGGGATCAGCCACCCATTTCCTTTGACGCCCAGGACGTCGAAACCATGGTGTTCACCTCTTCTTATTCTTACGCTTTCCAGCCTTGTTACCGCCCTGCTGCTTCTGGCTACCCGTAGACTTGCCCTGTCCCAGCTCGTCTATGCTCTTCTCCAGCAGCTCAAAGTCATCGGCAGAATCGGTCGTGCTCGGAGTGGCCTTACCAGGCTCCGAGTCGTCATCATGGTCGGAGCCGCCGGCGACCTCCTCGTACTCTCCTTCGGCAAAGCCTTCTCCGTCGGCGTTGCCGCGCTTCTTGGAGAACAGGCGGCCGATGGTGAGGTTGTAGACGAAGAGGGGGAGACGGACGATGGCGGTGTCGGAGACGGTTGGGCGGTGGAGTTCGTTGGGCTGTTTCGCGGGTGGTTAGGTTACTTGTGATTGGTTGCCTCTGTGGAAGAAATAATGGAAAACTTACGTCAAGCAGATACTCGGCCGTGTTACCCTCCTCGTCCTCTTGCTCAAGGTAGACATCACCCAGCGAATCCACGACAAGCACTTTACCGTTCTCAGCAACGACCCTCTTCTTGGCGCCCGTCGGTCCGCTACCCTGGGCAGCAGGCTGGGGTGTGGCCGAGCCCGAGGCGGAAGCGGAAGCAGAAACGGCCGCGGCTTGCTGGCCGCGGCGACCACGGCGGCTGGCGGTCTTCTGGCTGCTGTCTTTGTCCTTCTCCTTCTTGGCGTCGCGCTCCTGCATCCTGCGCATCTTACGGTTCATGGGGATGAGGTTTCCGTCTTCATCTTCCATCATTTGCGGTGGGGGTGGCGGGGGAGGAGGAGCGGCAACCGGGGCAGGGGCGGCGTCGACGCCAGGGATGTTAAGGTTCTCCCCCCAAGCGGCATGGCGGGCAAATTTGATGTAACGCTCCACGAACTCGCGCTGGCGCTTCCAGCTCATGTACAGGGCCAGGTAGTGGGCTGCGCCGCCGGCGAAGAGGAAGACGCCGGTGATGGCGGTGCCCAGGCCGGGGCGGTAACGGTTGTAGTAGTACTCGGTGCCCTTCCACGTGGGGAAGCCGTTGCTGAGGAAATGGTCGTAGCGGTCGCGCATAGGGCCGCGGAGGATGTTTGTGACGATGGACAGGCGGGCCTGGCGCTCCGAGGCGCGCTTGACGGCCGCCTTAATCTCGGCGGTCGTGGGAGGCTTGATTACCTGCGGAATCGGCTTGCCGCCGGTCTGCTGCTGCTGTTTGGCTTTCTCTTTCTGCGCCTTGACCCGTTCAGCTTGGAGCTGCTGCTTGACCTTGTCCGGGTGCAGCTGACGGGACTTCTTCTTGTAGGCCTTGTTGATGTCATCGAGACTGGCGGACTTGCTGACGCCGAGGAACTCGTAGAAGGTGACGTCGGGGCCCTCATGGGCAATGAGCTCGTCGCGGACTCGGAAGATTTCGCGGTCTGTGTCGTACAAGACTATGTTAGAATGGGGAGGTCTCTTCTCTACATCTTCATGTATGGCCCTCCGCCATCATCGTCTATCCCAGCTTGTGTCGTGCAGGGATCGCCAGCACATTTGCTGGCCCAGGGCAGCTTCGAGACTGTTGGGAGAGTGGGTGACTTGCCTTCCTTGGACCACGCTGCCGTGAGCGGCGTCAATAAGGCCAAAAGGCCGAGGGATAGCGCGGAGAATCTCATGATTGCATTATTTTCGGGCCTTGAACAGTGGCGCTCCTGTCGTGCTCAGGTAGAAGGAGGATGTAAAAATACCAGCAGCTTGTTCCAAAACTTTCAGGGGACACCTTTTCCACGATTGGGTCAATGTAACCACTGGGTCGCATTGGCTTGGCGGGGTTGTAAGCAGAAGGCCAGCTGGCATCCAGCAGCTGCTTTGTCCGCCATGTAAACTACGAGGACAAAGATGTGAAGGGTTAGGGTTTGAAGTGGTTAGCGAAAACGAAGCAAGTGTTCGAACCATGACTTCACTCCCTTGACACTCGGCTGTGAAAGCTTCTGTTGAAGATCTTTTTCTCTCTTTTGAGTGCTAATGATTTGGTGACCTTCTTCCCAGGCTATATGTATCAAAATGATCTTTGTCTGGGTTACCCTTTGTGTTCAAAAGTCATAACCAGTCGCAGAGATGCCCGTCAACCCTTGTCCTCAGTCAACCCACGAGGTCCCGGGACGGCAAGAGTCGGGTTTTCGACCATACCTCCAAAAGTCCTGAACAAAGTCTCGGCGGAAGATTGACTTGAATTCTGTAATGCGTCTGGTGTATCTGCGTTCATGGTCATTGTCATTAAGCGTTCTTGGGTTGACACCCCACTCCGTGAGCCATTCGATGCTTTCAAGGCTCTTAACTGTCTCGACTTGACTTCCTGCTTGCTTCTTGTTGAATTTAAGTATTGATATTGAGATGTCTGAGTGGAGATTGATCTAGTGAAGCAGCGTCTTCCGTTTGGTGCCCAAGGCCCAAAGTAAACGGCATGGTGAGCTTCTGGAAAAATGACCTCTTGAGCATTTTGAGATTACCCATAAACGTATATCCAAATACAGCGAGGGCCGTGGTATCACTACGTACTGTCTTAGATTGGGTTTCCAGCCCGAATATGCCGAGTAGACTTAAAACTCCTGTGCTTTGATCATCAACCAAGCTGAAGCATCAGATGAAATTGATACTCTAGGTATATATCACACATCAGTATTCACTGGCGACCAAGCCTCTCCTGATTGAAATTATTGGTGACTTACCTCGAGATTTCAAATGGGACATAGCCCGATCTCTGAACTCTAAGTAGTCGTACCCCAGAAGACTGAAAAAGTTTCAGGGACAGAAAGATATAATTTTACTTGATCCTAATCAGGACTCAGGCGCATCATTTGATACTGGGCTCAATCGCTAATACTGCGCGATCAAAAACACGTTTTATGCATGCTATCTTGGTAATGCTGTTGTAACTTTGACTTGGAGAGTCATTTGGGATATTTCCCGGCGGGCTCGACGTATGGGTTTTTTTTTTTTGTTTTAATATGGCAATATTTTCGCTCCCCTGACGCTGTATCGTCGCTGAACAGGCCGTTCTGTTCCCCGCTGAACCATCGTACTCGAGAAGATATACTTACTCCTCACCATTGCAGATGTTTATACTGCACATGACGATATCAACACCTCACCATCGCCCAAACAGCTTCTTCCTTCTGCCAACCTACCCTTCCCTTTCTCTACTTCTCGGTCATCTTCAACCACCGGTTCGAAATTACCTTGAAACCTTTCTTCCAGTCATCATTCGCCCTAAAGATTAAGCCCTCCTTAACCCCACCATATTTTCCTGGACCAAGCTTATCAGCATACGCCAAGATTTCCTCCACGCTCTTCCCATACTTGGTAACAGGACCATACCCGAGCACAGGCACATGAGCGATGTCGAGCGTCTTGCAAAGCAGCTCGACGCTCTTGGTCGCGAGGTAATTACGGGCATCCATATCCCAGATGCCGAAGACCACGAATTCGTGTTTTCCTTCGGGATACTGCATTGTGTTTCCCTGGATGTGAGAACCGACCAGCTCGCCTTGGATGGCAATGTTACGGTAGGGAATCTTGTGGATTTTGTCGAGAATGCCGCTCGTTTTGGCGGTTTCCCAGTAGATGTTCTTGCCGTCGTCGAAGAACTCGTGCTTGCGGTTGCAGATGCCGACCCGGCCGCCAGGAGTGTGCATGGTGGGAGGGATGGGGAGACTGCCGGTGATGGGTTCTAGGGCGGGAAAATAAGTGAGGAGATCTGGCGATTGGTTGGAGACCTTGTAGACGTGCATGGTAACGCCGTCGAGTTTCTCCGTGACTTGATAGATTCTATTTTTGGCTGCATGTGTGTTGAAGACGGAGTTGCCGATGTCTTGAATCCGGTAATTGCCTGGCTTCTGGATGAGCGGCGACAACTCGCCGATGATGCCCGTAACCGGCCGCACGTGAGTCGGGTACTCCCACTTCTTGATGCCTAGGCTGTCTGCGAAGGAAAAGGATAGAAGCTCTCTCGTGGCTTCGTCCTTGCCGATTTTTTGGATGCGATTTTGGTGATGCAATACAATCTCAGGAAAATCCGTAAGGGGAAAGATCATACCCTGCGAGTATGTGCCGGACACTTCGCGTGACTTGACGCGGAGCCCTATCTCTCCATTGAAAACATCGTTCATGCTGGACCAGAGCTCCCAATACCGATCAACGCGGGGAATGAACGAATCGATTTCCATGAAGACAACCAGATCGCCAATCTGGATAATGCATTAACCGACAAAATTAGTTCGCCCCTTATCTGATTATCAAGCTGTTATTTTGCATAAATAAGCTTGCGGGTACTACTCACCTTGAAGCGATTCATCTGGGACGTGAAGCCAACCACGGTCCAGTTGTCAACCGTGACAGCAGTGCAGTGTCCCTCAATTTTCTTCTTCGCCACAACTCTGCGCACACCCACGAGCTTGCGCCTGTAAGGCTGAATTGGTTGCACCCCGTTGGATGAGATGGCTGGGGTAGTGTTCTCCATAGTGTCGAGTAGTGTTCGCGGTGTAATACCCCTTGAGAGATACGTGGAGGATGAGAAATCTAACAAAGAGTGTGAAGAAGCAGCAGGGAAGGAAATCCTGCTGTGACTGCGCCCTCAGTTTTTTGAGTTCTTTTCTTTTGAGTCAAGTACCTGCACTAAGAGTGCCCAGTGGCTGACCCGATCGCAGGTTCCCCACGTTTGGGAAGATTGTGGATTGATCCTTCATCAACGGATGCCCAAGTTTGAAACTAACATACCGCTACCTAATAAGCCTAATTGGGATGAAACAAACACTCGCGCTAATGGCGGCGTTTGTGGGTGAGCTACATTCCAAAGCCAGTTTAGCAGCGCGTCTGCTTGTTCTTCCATAGATAGATGTAGCTACTAGTACCTCTCGAATTTTCTCGACAGTGCCATGCCACTGCACTGGCTCGCCGGCGTGTTCAAGTTTTTGCCCTGTCACTGGATTAATGACGATTTAACACTTTGTGGTAACTTCCATTATTTTGTCTCTACTCGGGACGATTCTAGCCATATAACTCGATCAATAATAGCATGTCAAAATGGCCGCTACAATAACCTCCGCGAAGGGATCTCCCATATATAATCCCCATACCGTGCTCTTCATTCGAGAGTTGCCCACACTTCCAAGCAAATCGGCTCTGCTCAACCCCACAAGAACTCTGGCGTTGTTCAATTACTGAATGGTAATTCGGCCGTAATGATCCATATAGGGCCTCTCGCCCGCGAAGCAAATGTACCTATTCAATCATTATGTTAGTGGCTGCCTCGCTTTACTCGGAGTGACGGTGTTTTAAGAAAACGTGTGCTTACCCCTTCCGCCCGTCATCGGTACGGTCAAACCCTTCAGGCCAGATCTCCTCCATGTCCTGGCGATGCTTGGTCATTGGCTTTTTCTCCTTTATCCGCAACTTTTCGAAGAAAACATAAGCGCCGTAGAAAACGGAAGAGGTCGCGCCCGCTCTGGCTCCCTTCATACCACGGAAGCGGGTCAACTGCGAGGTGTGAATATTGGCCGGTCGGTTAATGCCATGAAACTGCGCATGAATATCGCGGCAGAACTGCGCCATGGTAACGCCAGGCTTTTTCAGGTACGCATCAATCTTCCTCCGGATCTCATCACACGTGTCGTAAACAGGCACATCATCCGTTTCCTCGCCCTCGAGATAGACGTCACTGATATCGACTCCCGCGCTGTTACTGGCACCAGCCGCCTGAGCGGAGGAGCTTCCAGCCGCGGAACCGGCCGCGGAATCCGTCTTCTGCTTCTTGGTGGCGGATGTCTTGTTGGGGATCTTGTAACCGACAGCCTCGAGCTTCTTAAAGTACTCCCACGCGGCAGGGTAGGAGCTGTAGCCTTGACCTTTGTACGCGCCGTGCTCACGGAGAAAGCCACTGAGAGACTTGACACTTACGCCGAGCTCTCCGGCCAAAGCCGTCTTGGTGATGATGCCTGCATCAAGAGCGCGGTTGATTTTACGGCGCACTTGATCACAGTTGTCGGTGAGAGGGCCTTCGATGATGACGTCCTCAAGTTCATCGGCTGTCGGCAGGGGCCGCGGAGCCGGCGGAGTCGCGGGTGCCTTGCGCTTCCGGTTGTTGGGAGCAGGTTGGCTTGGAGTGACAGCTGGATTAAAAGCAGCTTTGTCGGTAGGAAAGGAGCCGGTGCCAGTGGGAACGTTCTCCTTGTTCGCAGCAGTTAAGGGATTTGGGCCATTGCCAAGGTAAGCTGACGACGGGGCATTGATTCTTGCTGCTTCGGGAGCGTCCCGAAGAACACCCAGCTGACTCTGTGGATGGTTAGTTAGACAAGGAGGGCTCCATTCGAAACGTTTGGCCCTATTGCAAGGGACGAACGACGCATTCGCATCGCAAGTGTTCGCCTGAGGTCACAGAAGACCACCAGGAAAGATACCTCTATGTTGTACTTACATTGGACATATTTTTGCTGTTGCAACAAGAATAATCGTGACTGTTTGAGGCTCGTCGGAAACAGTGTTGAAAGCGGTCTCGAACCCGCTGGATGAGGTGTGGGATTAGAAAATATTAGGAAACCGCGTCAAAGGTAGTCGCACCGAGCTTTCAAGTAAATGTCGCTAGCCCACCGAATAAAGCTGAGTTGGAAGGTTTAATCAAGGTTTGTTTGAGACACGTGAATGGCACAGGAGTTTGGAGTAGGTAAGGGTAGGTGAAGACCCTAAAAGTCCTGCGCGCGGGGACGTCAGTCAATGTCAACAAAGGTTATAGTGGGTCTTTACGTCAGTTCTTAAACTGGACATGCAGGAATAGTGGGGCACCTGCACGAGAAACCACACGAAAGCACGTGAAAGGCAGCGGTCCAGTAGACTGAACCCTGCTTTCAGTTAGTACGTTAGCGCGAAATACATGCAGAGCAGTGGTAGAATATGACGCGCACTATCTGCGTGTTAGTGCACGAGCCAGTCTCGGGCAGAAAAGGATCGTCAAACTAGCAGCTCAACCTTGCCGCTCTGTTAATGCAAGTCTTCAAGCGCTCGATGTCCCGACTTCCGAGTTCAGTCTCGGCCACTGCACGATAACATCAGCATAAGACCGGAACCCGTATCGCCAAGTACGCAGCGTTTCTCATCATTTTCTTTCCCAAGCTTCCAGGTAGGAGCTCTCCAGAGTGGGTCTCGATTATATCCGGCTGGTTAGCGCGGCAGAGGTACCCAGCTGGCTGCAGGTCTTCGCTTCATTCAGCTGCTTCTCATCGATGGTGGGTGACCTCGGGGCCCGGGGGATGCATTTCCGAACGGTTGATGCAGCGGTCGAACGTTCCATGGCGATTGCTCCTGGGGCCCAGACTCATACTTGACACCAAATCACCGCCGGTTGTCACGGACGTACTAAACCCAAGCCGTCAGGCCACATATCTCGAGCGGAAACCGCGGATGAACGCCCTGAACGCTGCCCTCCCTCACATCACAAACTGGGGTCGTGCAAACCAGTGGACGAATTATGAGTGTCAATTTAACCAGGATGGGCCACTGCCCTAGAAAAAGTTGAACCTCCAACTGGCTCCATGGGTAGTGACTATCTGTGGTTCAGGGTTCAGTCTCCGCGATCCGGTTCATCAGCAATGCTGTCACCATGAAAGTACCATCTACCGAGACATTCCCATGTACGGCCCGGTTACATTTGTCTCTAGCGGTTGCCAGGGCGCTCTCCATGAGAGTTATGAAAACCAGTACGGTGTTTAAGTCCAGATAAGTGTCTCGGTAACTTGAGATTACCAGGAACCACCCTAATGCGCCGTATCGATGATACTGTTCCTTGCCGGATCAAGTATATCGCCGTCCAGGTATCAACAACATGTCGGCTTATTTCCCCAAAATAGCTAGACGGGAAGCCCGTCATTCATATAGTCTCACCAGATGAGCCGTCTATTTCTGCTTGATAGGTACTCAAACGTAGATCAAGCGGGCCAACGTCATGGCACTCCGCCAACTTCACGGAGCGAGTGATGCGATAAGACATGGCAGCTCTCTCCATCACACGCTTTTTTCTTTCTTTCTCTTTTTTTTTTTTTTTTTTTTTTTTTTTTTTTTTTTTTTTTTTTTTTCTTCACCAGTCTCGGATCACATTTACAATGAACTCCCACGTCCAACCAGTCAGCCCCTTGTCTACCCACACTGGCCAAGATGTGCTTTAGTACATGTAGTCTTTAGCTTTTGAGCCATTGACCTCCAAGGCAAGATCTCTATTACACTTTTTTCTCTTTTGCAAGAGATACCCTCTTCAAAACTCTTCAAATATTCTATTACGCCTGGTATACGGTTCCATATATACCTCTCAACCACGGTCACCCAGTCTTGATCTCATTACACTTGGATGTTTCAGTCTTAATACTTGAGTAAGATTCCACATTTCAGAATGGCAAGTTCACTCCGCTCCTCTCCTACCCTAAATCCTATCCAGATTACATGCTAACTATCCTGCCACAGCCCACTCCCGTCACACTCCCCGATGGCCTCCCAACCATAATCATCACTGCCATCTCCAATCTTGAAACTGTCAAACGAACCCGCCATAGTATCAGCGGCGCAAACGAACCACTAGACTCTATCTCCGTCCAAGCCGACAGCCTCATCCGCTCGCTTTTGCTAATCAAGGATATCTCCTCCCTCAAAACCTTACGAGTAGGCGAGCAGATCTACCAGATCATGGATCTTGCCTCCCGTCTCGGCGCCTCGATGCTAGTAATTGCCGCAGACAGCAGCCGCCGGACCACAACTCCTCCTGAAGGGCAAGGGATCACGCAGGATGACTACGTCTATGGACACTTGCAAACTATGAGGGGTCAACTGCAGGAGGCAAAAGATACGCTGTTTGAGCTGGTTAGGTCGGTGCTGGTAGGAGTTTCTGGGAATCCTAAGGATGGGTTTTGGGTTATTGAGGAGGATTTAAGGGGGGTGAATGAAAAGGTTGAGGGGGCTATGGGCGTTCACTTGAGGTTGTTTGCACGGTTACAGGAAAGGATAGGGAAGGGTGGAGGTGAGTCATTGATCTTTGTTTCCTTTCGAACCTCTATCAGGCCCATTCCCCGTCATGTTTACTAACCGATTTGCTCCAATCTTGAGTAGAAGATGCTGTCATCGAACTGGACGACGCGGATCTTGAACATCTCGGGTTGCCCCGAGTATCGGGAGATTTGTAAGATGCCAGTCCTCCATTGCGCTATTCATGAAATTGGCTGACAGCAAATCAAGGGTCGAACAGTGGCGCGCCACTGTGGGGGTTGAGACCGGCATCACTCGGGAGAGTTAGCAGTAATCAGCATTGCACCCAATGCATGATGGAATGCCTGCTATGTCTTTTTTTTTTTTTTTTTTTTTTTTTTTTTTTTTTTTTTTCCTTTAAAATGGGCGGCGGGTGTTACAGCTTTCACGGGTGGCTATCTGGCTATGTACGTTTTATTTGTTTCTACTCTGTTAATATTTGGATACCCTGCATTCCACCTCCGCGTGGATGGGTGGCAGTCTGCTTTTTATCGCAACAACAGCAAATATCCTAAGCACACGCACTGTTTAACTGTGATTGACTTACTCAGACTTACTTACCACTTCCCATTGCATCAATCCTTTGATTTGTCTCAGCTCCTCTTACTTCTTCGTCATCCATAACCCTTAGTAAACCCCCCAAAATCATCCCATGCAGCCCAGCTGAAAACAAACATTAGATTGTCTCAGGTCCAAGATCTTTCGGAGTGCCTATCAAGATCAAGATCGTGATCAAAGCCAGATTCTCGGCACTCACAACTGCCGAGAGCCATATACTGCCCCTTGTCTCATCAAGCATCCGACACCCGATCGACTCGTTTCTTTTCATCCCACGCCTTCGGTCCGAACGGGCGGCTGAAGTAAACAGTGCGAATATTTGGCTTCGTCAAGGTCAAAAAAAAAAAGGGGGGGGGGGGGGGGGGAAGGGCTTTACTCGCTGTGTTCGCAGTTCTAGAAATATTATCATCATCTCCTACTAACGTATGGTCGCGGGGCTTCAAAATATCGTGCAGACTGTAAGACATTCCCTAAGTAAGCAATTACATCGCTAGCTGTTGGCCAAACCATCTACCTCACATACACTACTTATCCTTCTGCGTCTTGACTCGACGTTAAGTCTTACCTGTCTGTGGCGAAGAAAAAGGGAAATCTTCCGCTGGCCTCAATTTCAAATGTCCTGTGCGAGATTTTACGGTAGACGGATAGATACTCGCTCTGATCCGATCGTCACACAAGGATTGTAATGCCGTGTCTCAGTTACCCACTACCCCTGGGAAGGCAACTAACTCTGCATGAACTGGTGTTTGTGTTGTGCGACGTAACCTGAGGGCTGAGTCCGAGGCTGAAAGTGGCTGCGGAGGTTGTTGATTCACTGAATGATAGTTGAGGGTGCGTGTGGTTTGTGCTAGGCTATAGATAGGACACTATGGTCGCAACTGCCTGTGTTTGTCAGCCACTCCATAATTGCGACTTCAACGGATCCATTGTTTTTTTATAGAAATTACCTCAGATGCCTAATACTGCTTTCCAAATGCACATATCTCGTGTCTTGCGACTTCATGTTTCACGCAATGTTTTTGTCTCCTGGTATTTCTCTCTACCCACTGGCGTATCATCTCCCGTTCGTCATTGTGAATAATCGTACAAAACTGCCTATCGTATGGTACGTAACCCTACATTCCTCAAAGTAAAAGAAAAAGAAAGAGGGTTTAATGGATAACTCGCTGTCATGACTGTAGTTAGGTGGTATAATCTATATAGATCAAAGAAATCGAGAAGTGTTGTGGAGTAATGTCACCTCATCAAACCTCTAAACTCAAAAGTGCAAAGCCGGCCATAACATCGTATAATCCCCAGACAAATCTCTCAGCCTCTGCTGAGAGTCACTCGTATCCGGCCTTTCTGCACAGTTGCCGTTCGTCCTCCCCCCTCGCTCCTCTGCTTCAGTAGATGCTACCCTTTTCAACGGCAGCACCCCCCCTCCCCCTATTCCCATTCCGCTTAGTGACCCTCCTCCCATTGCCGTAGCATCAATACCGTGTTTTTCTTTCTTATGTTTCTTCAGATTATCCAGTCGACTAAACGTCTTTATGCAGCCAGGAACGTGGCAAGAGAGGCGCAGCCCTTTGTGCGTGTTTTTGTGTTTACGCAGATAACCTTTGAGATTTCCGCGGACGCCGCGGGGTTTCCATTGGCATTCGTCACAGATTAGGTCATTTTCGTTGCTACCGCTACCTAAATTCTGACCTTGGCTAAGGTCTTGTTGTGTGCTGTTGTTGGGTCGGCAGTAGTGGATGGCGATACCGGTGGTACGGTATGGATGTGAGTGCTGGCGCTGGCGCTGGTCTTGGTCTAGGTGTTCAAACTGGTGTTCCGAATGGTGTTCAAAATACGAGGATATCTTTGCTTTGCTGGCACCTGGGGTTGTATGATTCCCATCTGTTGTCGATGGTTGTTGTCCGATTTCGCCACATGTCCTTGTCCCTGTCAGTGGGTTTCCTGGCTGCATGGTCTCGACTAAATCGAGACTTGGTGATCGAATCATGCCCTGATGTGTTCCTGGTCCTGGTCCATAGTAGTGTTGATAAATTTGTGGCTCGTCAACATCTCTGGTCCCTCCCAGAGTACCCAAGATCGGTATGTCCCTTCCACTCTTTTTGGATATTTTCAAGGCCGGTGGCATTTGAACATGGAGACTACTGCATGTTCCAGATAAGTCGGGTGTTGATTCTTGGATGCCGCCTGTCAATTTTGGACTCCACCATGAGTGGTCATCCCCTTGCAACGCAGGAGACATACTTGGGTGAGATACTGGGACGCTGTTAGCGATTACCAAGTCGTCCAAAGACATGGCTGCCGGCGGTGGGAGACCATCGAGTTGTAATGCCCCGGTCGGTATTGTTAGTTGTGATGTAAAGAGGTATGGCTGGGATGTGATGGTGTTGCTGTTCCCCTGAATCGGCGGCGTAGGGGATTGGTATTGTGAGACACTCGGAGGGAACAAGGTGGTGCGGGAAGTGTTTGTGGACGCTCTCTGCGATGCTTCGACCTCGGTGATGGACGAAGCCGCAATCGATGACACGATAGACTGCAAGTCCGACATCTCCTCCGCATTGAACCCTTGCCGGAAAAGTTCTAAGCGGGTATCCATCATATCAGTCGTAGTCGGTAGCTTATGAAGAGAAAAGGAATCCCCTGGGGCAGTATGACCCAAGTATGGTATCGTAGAATGTGGCGCAGGGCATCCGATCATGGCAAAACCTTGAACTACCGATTCCATTGAAGCTGCCGTATGTGTCCTCGTATGAAGCATATAGCCAGGTTGATCAGTTACGATTTTCGACAATGCGTTTGCCCTGTAATTGTTGTCCCGTTTACGAAACATGAAAGTGTCCCTCATCTTGGAACCTAAACTTCGCTTCCGCTCAATGTTGACCTCCTGAAAAACCATGGGGGCAATGATCCCATCTGTAACCACTTTCTCTTCATGTCTGGCCGTAGGGATCGAGGTCCCAGTCAGCCACCTTGTCCTGAAATGCTCTTGTAGGACTGGGTAGACTTACGGGCATGAACTACGGTGGTTCCTCGACATGGAGGCTTGTGAAAGAGCGACATTTGAAGCGTTGTCTCGCTTGATGGCCGAATAAAGTCCTCCATCATGACTAAGTTGGTGCTGAAGAGTCGACATGGAGCTGGTATGGGACGTGGCTGGGTTGATCTATATGTGCCACGGTGCATCGGCAAGAGCCCTACCAGGCTGGGGAGAGAGTGGAACAAAGAGAAAAGCCTCTTGGGGGAGGTTGTGGGTTGGGGCACCTTGGTTAGGTATGCATCTTGTCGTAATATGAGCCGGGTATCAGAGGTGACATTGGGGACGGGACGCAGGACGATGCTTGGCCAACTGCTACCCCAGGAAAGTTAGATGGGCTTGCCCGACAGAAACATCCTGGCATGGTTCCCGGGGTGGATGACCTTCTCCACGGTTCCCGCTGTCCCCGATGCATGCCTATTTGGACGAATCCACGATAATTGTGTCGTAGCCTGTCGAGTTGGCGATGGGCAAACCAGGTAAACCAGGCACACAGCAAGCCAACTGAGGCCAAGGGCATGTCTGGAGGCAGGCCTGGAGATATCAGGCAGGTAGAATGCTGTTGGGCGAGTAAGAAGAAGGAAAGCGGCTGATGTCAACTCATCTACATTGGGGACGCAATCTAAAAGCTCTTTACCCGACTGGGGCTTGGCCGGCTGAAACTGCATTTTTGCAGCCTTCAAGCCTGAAGGTGGGTTGCGGGCAGAGGAGTGACCTGTTGACGGTTGGCGTTGTTTTCAATGGCTGCAACAAAGTCAGCAATTGATTCTTGCGACCAGCAACGGAAGGCTGATCCGCGCCTTGCATGGTCAAAGTTATCCATGGTGGTTTCTGAGGAGAGGATTGATTTGGGAATTATGGGATACATTCGTTGCTCATGCTGGAAATGATAAATCAGCGGTTGCTTGTGGAGAATTGACACCGTCCGGGAATGTTCTGGGAGAAGTTGGAGGGTCCGATAGTTGGGTTGTGTTTGAACAACGGAAACCAAAGGGGGGGAGGGGGACTCGAGCCGGGTACAAACAAGTAAGGTCATGGACAGGACAAGGAGAGAGAATTGTTTGTTACATACTGGACAAACTGAATGTATCTATCTTGCACACATATCAAGACGGCAAGTAAATACAGAGCTTCTGCCGTATTGCTTACAGACACCCTGGGCCCTAGACTTCCCCACAGCAACAACGCATCCCGTCAGGGCAGTCCCCCCAACCTCCGTAGTTGCTTCAACGTTTCCTCTTCCACTTCCTTTGACAACGAATTTCTTCCTGACTTCAACATCACGGACAACGTCGAAATGAAGGCGACCAACCACTCTTTCTTTTACGCCTTGGTAAACGGCTACTTTACAGACTGGAGTCACTGATTCACTTTGTGCGGCATTGCCAAAGAAAGCAAATGTCGACATCAGAGTCTGCCCACAAGGGTGTTGCTACTTTGCGGTATTATCCCCTCCTGACGCCCCTACCAAAGTTGACACCATGAAGAACCTCTGATGCCATTACCTGGTCTACCTAGCCTATCTGGCTGTCGACTCGTTATTTCAGGTTGCATCCGACCCCTCAAGATTCATCCCGCTTGCCGGAAGAGGAAACATTCACGAGCAAGTGCAGGATAGGCTAAAACCAGGACGCCCCTTTTTCTGCAAGTCACGCTGGGTGACACGACCAGGTTAAATTGCATCGTGTTTTTCTCGTGTCTTGACATCCATTCGGCCCCCAGTCGAAGCTGCATGCTCTCTGGTTGTTCTACTTTCCTTCTTTTGACCTCGGTGCCGACCTCCGTCTCGAGAGATAGCTTGATTTTCTTCGCTCTCGTCTCCTCACAGTCACCTTCGGGATTTCGGGTTCGTCCATCTATCCAGATTCTTCTGGATGTCAATCTGTTGGTGCACCATTCATTAAGACATGCAGAGACTCACTCATACTCGACATGTAAACTCAAGGGTTGTCTTGGGCTAGATATGGGAGATACTGCGCCCATCATTTCTCCTATGTGGTTACTGTCAAGTGCACGGCGAACTACTCCGATATACTCAGCCTTGGGCATATGGATAACGGTAGTATAGACCTGCCCAGATAAGCGAATGAAGGGGAGCACGAGCTCGGGCAGTCAGGACGTGCGGCATGCAGGGACAAGTGTGGGATTTGTTATGTCTATGTTAATATGATCTCGTTTAAGATCGTCCATCGACGCTATGGAAGACCATCAGAACCGAAATCTGCTTGAACGTGTTGTTGTCCTGCATCCGGTCTGGTGCAACACCACCATCACTGAGGCAGTTCTATTCCGGTGACACACGGCCTGTGGATTTCCACAAGATACCAACATAATGTTATCTGATTTCGAATCAACCTTCAACCTTTCTAATGATTCTACAGCGTCTGGGGCGGGCTCACTGTCTGTCTCAATTCACACCATTGTATTGGATGAATCTCACCCAAACAGCTTGCTTCACTTGCTGAGATCATCTAGAAGCACATCAATTGAGAGCTATTTTAAACCCAAAACCCTCGTCCAGTTTGCCAGGTATCTTGAACCACCGTCTCCGAGCCCCAAAGAATCTCTTCAGTGTCTCTTCGGATTGAGCCAAACAAGGATCTCATGACATCCTTTGGCCACTGAACTTCCAATAGCCGCAAGGATCTTCCACAACTGTTTAGGCAAGAACACTGCATACTCAAACAATTCCTCCATAATCCACCAAAGAATTTTACCCACGAACCCGAGCATGTGGACAAGCGCTTTATACGAAGCCTTTCCAAATGCTCTCATCCCAGATAATATCGCCCGAGGTAGGTCGACAAAGAGGGCTTTCAGCGCTACCAGAATCCCGTTACCGACATCCTTGAGGGTGATGTTCCGGAAGAAGCTCAACACCGCCATAACAGCCGTGTGCATAGCCGACACCACCTTCAGAAACATGAACCCCGTCGCCAAACCGACCTTCCGCAAACTCTTCCATATCCACAGGCATATCACCCTCATGGCCCTCAGTATCCCCCTGATGATCCACCACATCCGCTTAGCCAACGCCTTCGCAAACCTCGCCATCCCCGTTGGGGCATGCTTCAAGGCCTTCACCGCCCGTCCAGCAGCCTGTAGTGCCCTTTTAGTTCTTTCTGGCATCTTCTTCACCTGCTTCTTACACCACGGCCCAAATTGATGCTTATTCTTCCAAGACCACTTCGCCAAGTTCACGCTAGGCAAAACCACCAAGTCCTTCGGCAAGCTCCACAAAATCGCCTTGGGGATGTACCACACACAATATACACAGAAGGCCCCGATGCCCTGGCAACTCCTCTTGATCCGTCGAGTGGCTGCCGCGTGGTGCGTCCTCCACCGCCGGAACTCGCCGCCCCTGCGCGAGGGGAGAAGGTCAACGATCTCCCTGTGTCCGTGGTCGGCCGCCAGGCGCAGGGCGAGCTGGCCGTCACCGGCTATGAGAGCGTCATTGGCGTGGAAATCCCTAAAGAGTAATTTTGCCAAGGCAAGGTTGCCGGCTGCTGAGGCGGCCATGAGTGGCGTCCGCGCATCCGCAGGCGGTTTGTTGTCTACTTTCTCCTTTTTCCGCTTGGATGATGATGATGATGATGATGATGAGGACGAGCTCCGCTTGGAAGGAGTGCCAAACGTGTTGACATCGGCGCCGAGGTTCAAGAGGGCGCACACCATGGCGCCATCACCGGCTTCCACGGCCGCGAGGAGTGGAGTTAGGCCATACTCATTGGGAACGTCGGGGGAGACGAAGCCGCCAGTGATGAGTTTGGTTACTAGGTCGGTCTTGTTGGAGGTGATCCCGTCGAAGAAGATGCGGATTAGCCTGCATTGCAGATCGCGCCGTTCTTTTTGGATGTATGGTGAGTTGGGGTCGTCCAGATTGATAGGGGATGATTTGGATGAGGCGGCGGAATCGACAGCGGGAGGGAGGGGGTGGGGATATTGACTGAGTGGTAGGTGGAGGTCAATGTTCATGTTGAGATCAGCTGTTAGTCGGGTGCTGTTCCCGTTGATGAAGTCCATCAATCGGTCGTTATCGATTCTGGTGCAATTTGGCACGGGCGCGTCGGCGCCCTCTAACCCAGCCATGATGTCTGATTAGGTGATACTTAGGCGAGATATGAGGAGGGTTGAATCGGTGATTGTTTGGTCGAGAGCTTGTATGCACTTTTATCGTCGCTGTCTGCTCGGTCGGCGAAGCAAAAGAGAAGTTCGTCCTTGGTTCTTCTGCGCGGCTGTTGGTTATACATTCCACAATCTACGGGTCGCAAGATCTGAAAGGGTATCACAAAGAAAGGTTGGTTTCTCAGTCCCGATAAGGTATTTCTGACGTGTCATGATGACGGCGTCAATGAGATAGCGAGGGGGTGAAGGGATGCCTAGGGCAGTGGTCCGGCGGGATGAACTTGAGTCGCACAGCCGCAATGCCCATCAAGCCAGCAACCAATCTGCCTCGCCATCTTTGTCCAATTACAATCCGGATACTACTTGATCCATTCAAACTACGTTCGGGTTTGTTTCACAGCAGAATGTTCCAAAGTTCGAAGGCGCCTTACAAGGCTAACGAGAGAGAAGGGTGCATCGAAATATTTCGCACCGCAGGATTTCCGATCGAGAACATGAAAGACCGGGAAAACCATGCATAGACACTCGCACACACACAAATCAAATCGAGTTCATATCTCACATGCTCCCTCCTATGCCTTAGCTTCTATTCAGATACCTTAGCTGCTCATCAACATCTCCCACTTCATCCATAGAGGTACCCTCAGCCAGATTAGCTCACACCAAGACAGCAACACAGCCCACAACACCAGCCCTCTTGGCGATCTGTCCCATTCGAGATGTAACAAAGATACATCGCCCGTGTAGCGGAGATTATAGCTCCACAAACGAATGAGTGAGAGACCTCGAATAGAAAAAGATAACTATGAGAACGGAACCATAGTGTTCATGCCAAGAAAGGGGAAAGAAAAAATGTCAAGTGCGGTTTGTGTGGATCGGATGTTCGTCAGGACACGAAAAGTGCTGATTCTACCTAGAGGTACTCTACTCAGTTCGTTAAATTTCATTTCCACATCATGATCCAGCATATAACCCAACATAACCTTCTTTCCTTGTCCAGTAGGGATGGGTGGCTTCATAACGTTGAACACCGCAGACTTTATAACTTCGAAACAGCAACAGCCCCCCTCCTCTTCTTCTGATAAACCTGAATCTCCACCCCCTTGGTGTCCTCCCCACCACTCTTCAAGATCCTCCTCAAGATTTTCCCACTAGGGCTTTTGGGGATCTGCTTCACAAACACCACACCTCCCATAAGCCACTTGTACTTGGTCGTCCTCTTTTCCACCAAAACCCTGAGTTCATGCGCCAGCTTTTCCAGCTCGGTCTTATTTCCCAGCGCCTCCGGTTTGTGCGGAACCACATACGCTCTCGGCCACTCCGTCGCCTCCGACTCGTCATACACGCCCACCACGCCCGCGTCCGCCACCGAAGGGCTGCTACACAGCACGGCCTCCAGCTCCGCCGGCGCAACCTGGTATGCGCGCACCTTGATCAGCTCCTTCAGCCGGTCCGTGATCCGCAGCCTCCCCTGCGCACTGATAGTGCCCACGTCGCCTGTGCGGAACCACCCATCAACCGTCAGCGCCTCCCTCGTGACCGACATATCCGGCTCCTGGCCCTTAGGGGTCCTGAACATGCCCACGGGCAGATACGCGCTAAGCAGCGTCGGCGACCGAATCAAAATCTCCCCTTCCTGCCCTATCCTCGCCGCCTTGGTTTTCCCGTCCACTAGCCCCGGAGCGGGCACATCCATATCAGCAATCATGACCTCGACGCCCCAATGCGGCACGCCCGTCTCGCCCGCCTGCTCCACCATCTCCTTCTCGCTCGTGCCGCGCTGCAGCGAGGTGCTGCACGTCTCGCTCAGTCCGTAGCCCAGCCTGACTCTGAACCCGCACCGCTTGTACACCTCCACGACCACCTCGTGTCCGAGGGGAGCGCCGCCCGTGACGGCTGCCACGATGGAGCTGAAGCTGTTCTTACCCGTCTTTGGGTCGCGCTTGGCGTATTTTTCGACTACAGGAGCCTTGGCCAACATCACGGCAATGGGCGGCGCCATGTGCAGGTAGGTGATCTTCCTCTTCGGAATGGCGGCTAGCATGCCGTCAAGACTGAAGGACGGCATCACGTATACGGTGCTGCCTGTCATGATGGCGAGCAAAACGATGTTACAGAGACCGAAGACATGGTAGAAGGGTACGTAGCCGAGCCAGCGTTGCTGCCGGACCTTTGCAAGAGAGTGGTAGTCGGCTGCGTCGTGCCACATGTGCGCGCCGGAGAAGTTGAGCGCGTGGTGAGAGAGGAGGACGCCCTTGGATCGGCCGGAGGTGCCGGAGGACCAGAGAATGACGGCTGTGCGAGCGGGGGAGGCGGAAGAGGGAAGGAAGGAGGAGGGGACCACTGTTGCTCGGGGAGAGCGCAGGAGGACCTTCCAGTCCTGGGTTTTGTTCGTCTTCTTACTGCTGCTGCTGCCGCTGCCGACAGAGGTAGGCGGTGACGATGACGATACAGAAGGGTAGTGGTCTTTGGCTGCGTCAAAGGTGAAGATGGGCACGGCGTCAAAGAAGGCTCGGTCTCGCGGTTCCTGCTTCTTCAGCGCCTCGCGCATGGCGCCGAGACAGGCTTTCGCCGTGATGATGGCTCGCGGCCGAGAGTTTTGGAGGATCCAAGCGATTTCATCGCTCGTAAGGGCGGGTGAGACCAGCGTTGCGGTGAGTCCGGCGGCCAGCGTTCCCAGTAGCACGGGCACAAAAGCAAGTGAGTTGGGAAGCTGGATAAGGACGACTGGGGCGATCTCGGGCCCTTGCGGGCAGGTCGGTGTTGGTGGGAGTTTGATGATATCGCTAGGGTTGAGACCCAGACTCAGCAGACCGGCGGCGAGGGCAAGGGCATCGCTTCTCATTTGGCCGAAGGTGAGTTCGCGGTCTTGTTTAGGGCGGTGATGTGTCAACTTTGAAGTCTACCGAGTGCAAGGTTCCAGACGTTAAGAAAATGCTAACCTGAAGCATTATCCACAAAGATTGGCCTCTCATCCTCGATCTTGTCCAATACTTGAGCTCTAGGGGTGTAGTCATTCGCAGACGAAAAGGGCTGACTGAAACACCAGTCAAAGGTATTGTTGAGGGGAACATGGCCAGGCGGTGCTCCAGAGTAAGCTTCCCCCGTGCTCGTCAACGTCGATGGTGGTGTTGTTGACATGTTGTGGGGGATCTGTCCCAGAGTCAAGCCTTGCGAACTAAGTCAAAGTGACTGTTGGTGATGGTGATGATGACTAGATGGGAGATTGGAGACGTCCTTTCCTTGACCTTAGGTTAGAACCCGTTCCCAGATATCTGATACCTGGCTTGACTTCCATGGTCCTATCATATTTCTTGGCCGAGGCAGTGGGGTTGGATGGGACGGGCGGGAAGTTGGAGCGGGACACTGGATCTGGACCCAACTGCCCCTTGGACCTGAAGGCATTCCTTCGACAGAGCGGCACAAGTACATAGGTGTAGAAGCGGGAGAGCGCCGGCGATGGGAGCGGTTAGGGTCGACCGGGGATAAAAGCTACCCCGGAAACCCACTTCCCCCACCTCTCCGAGAACCCTCCACGCCCGCTCGGACCGAATGCCCACTTCCCATCCGGCTCCACCTCCACTCAATTCCCCAAATTCCGGGAGGGGGGGCCAAGGCCCGCGAGCCCGCCAAGGCAGGGGAAGCGCCAAGATGAAGGCACGCTGATTGTTTCAAGTGCGGGACACTCGGCAGTTGTCGACGAGAACAATTGGGGTAACGATTTCCTTTGATGGCTATAATAGTTCGGCGGAAGACACTCCGATAATTCCGTGACAAAACCTCAATGGGCCTCTGCCATTCCTCGGCTTCGGCCTACAGGATGTACAATTCCGTGTCATCTCATTTGCTGGCCTAGACGGGGCAAAGCACGGTGGATCTCGGTGGATCAAGCTGTCAAAAGAGTTCAGTTCCTGGGCGTAACCAGGGGTATGCCGGTTTAATGCTATTCCAATATCAACATCATCATCGACGACGACAACAACAGCAGACGACTTCCTAAACTTTCCTTTCTTTATAAAAAGAAAAAGAAAAAAAAAAGGAAACCGTTTACTTGGCGAGAAGAAGGATACGACCAGGATTTGCAGAGCGAGCCCTTACGGAATGCGTAGGTACATAGCTTGAAGTCTACTTACCTAACGCATGTCAAGCGACCTGCAGCCCATGCTGGCGCTGCAGTGAACGGCGGCAGGCATTAGCTGACTCTGTCAACAAACCAAACACCCAGTCATCAACAAAGCCAGAAAAAGACGAGGACAACATCAAACAAGCGGACGAAAACGAGGCCTCTACTCTCTTTTTATACACTCGGCCTGGCATCCACAGAACCTCTCGTCTTCCTCACCACGAGTCACCGGGTTTGATTACCTTCCCCACCCGGCTCCCCACCGAACCCAGTTTGCCCGTTCCGGTCCTGGGCCCTTCCATTCATCATCAAAAAGACTAAAAAGGGGGGCTCCCCTCATCACGGGTACGGTAAGCATTCACTTCGACAACCTACCTAAACTGAACTACCGGAGATACCTCCTGCGCAGATGCAGGTACATGGGCTATCATGTCGTATCATTTCAGTCCGATGGCCCCTTCATAAGCGCATCCAACCGTCGAACGCCAAACACTAAGTCAAGCTGTCCGCTGTTCATCATCCATCTTCCATGAGCGCTAGCGGTGCAAAGGAAGTTGAGGAATGCGGGCGACTGGGGAGGGAAGGTTGAAAAATTAAGAATATAAGGGAACAGGTACCCGAGCATCACAGTCGATCCCATCTAGAACCAGGCCTCCGGCTCGGTTCGACATGGTTTAACACGTCAAGTTGTTATTCATCCAAGCGAGCCACTTCAGCCATCGCTTCAGAGGAAAGAGATGAAATTATGAACGGCAACTTGACTGGGTTGGAATAAAGAATCATCCCAGCTCCCAGGTGGGCAATGACCGATAAGGTCCACGCTTTTCCACGCTTGAGCTGTTGATCAATGTTCGGTTATCAACAACGGTCATGTACTACTACGCTACACTGGTTCACGAAATATGTAGAGACGAGCAGGGACTAGGGGAGTTGGTAAATGAGTCGTGTTGGCTCTAGGTTAGTCTTGGGACTTTTTTCGGTCAAAGGACGCTAAGACTAGACCCAACTGGCTGTTCCACCCAACAATTGCTCTTCGTACGCACCTAGTCTAGGCTGGGGAGACACTGTGATAGAAGCGGCGTCTCCTCCGTCTTGTCTCATTTGCCCTGTCTACAAGACAACCCTAATACTCAATGAGACCTGTACTGTACCGTACCGAGAGGCTGAGTCGTCGGCTAGCCGTGTTGAGGCAAAATGTTTGAGGAATCGGTTGGTACGCCAGTCAGTTGGTCAGTCGGTAAGTCGGTGTTCGGACATTTTCGGATACTTTTGCGACTCGTGTTTGGTACGTTTCAACATTTGGATCTTTGATTTCTCGGATTTAGAACGGGTCCTGTAAATGCCCGTGAATTCTAAGACATATGTATGTAATGGAACCCGACTGTTTGGGCGACTGGGCGCAAATGATCACGAGTAAACGAAGCTAGATGGTCAGTTACGGTGAGGATTCGTGGTCTTGGACATTGTATGGGAAAGAACGGTGAAGATTCAACACACGTCCATCAGTATACTGAAAATGTCAGGACGAACGGTCAACATGTATATCTAGACCTTCAAGGATCTGAACCCCATTTGGGGGTTAAACATGCTGGTATTCAAAAACACACTCATACAACCCACTATCAATGATAATGCCGCACCTTCTTGCCTCAAGATAGTCGAAATGTGATGCAGTTGCGAGCTTAGAAGCTACTGCACCCCCCCACCCCCCCAAGCAAGCTAAATGTAATCCTCTCCACGCTCTCCTGCAACCCAGGTGCAATGCTATCAAAAATCGAACAAACAGAAGAAATCAGATAACCAGCCCAAAGGTGGAGCTGCACAAGAGCTCATAAATAACAGACACAAAGACCAAAATCAGACAAAAACAGTAAAAATAAATAGGGGTATTATGACGATGACAGATGGCCGTCCCTGAAGAACAAAAGGAAAAGAACAAAAAAAAAAAAGTGTTTTTCCCCCAGAACCAAGAATAGAACTTTCGCGAAACTGCGAAGTAGGAGGACGAGTTTGCCGCCGCCGCGTTGAGCCCCAATAATCCAAGCGAAAATGAAGTGCTGAAGCATTTGTGATTCCTTCCAGAAACATGAACGATATCAAATCAGTAACAAAAAGCCGCCCCAGTAGTTTTTGAGCAAGTGTGTCGACGTCCAAGTCGACAATGCCGATAAATCAAAATGAATGACCCATGGCTAACCGTGTGGTTATGGTTGTTGTCTTTTTAAGAGTTGTTGTAGATGAAGAGCCGGGGAGAGTTTGTGATGATTGGTTGGTCATAAAGTCATTCCGTTTGTGAAGGTGATCGTGGTGTCGTCGTTGTTTCGGCGGTTGTTGTTTAATACACCTGGCTCTTGTCGCGTCGAATCATATGTTCCCATGGGACTGCTCCCCTTTGCCTGCTCTTACACTCCCCACAGTCGAAATCTCTAAAGAAAAGGGTGTTAGTATCTGAGTGTCATAATTATGATCCTTTGGAAGGACAACTCACTTCTGCTCAAAGTGAGCTACGTTCGGTTTACACCTCTTGTGGGTGATAGTGTACTCACGACACCAGTGGGACGCTATCCAGCGCATGTGTCGGCAGGCATATTCTCTCTAGCCATGTCATGTCGTATTAGTTTATTGGTATGAGTCGGTAGATGAACAGAGGATGAGACTCACCTGAATATAGTCGCACATAATTCCTAATAGAACCCTAAGCGTGTGCAGAATCTGATAGGACAAGATGTGGCTGGACTGGACTGGACTGGACTGGCACTTTTTGGTTGTTGGAACCTTGGAAACTTCGTACCGTTCCTGAGACGGGGCGGATCGACTCGTTTATGGAGTTGATATGATGTTCATGTGACTGAAGCTATCAAAATAAACGGGTGAAAAAAAGGAAGCGGGAACAATACCCGTTCTTGTACTTGGCGGTCTCCATCATATCCACCATCCAGTTATTGTCTCTCTCCACAACAAACTTCATCAGCCCTACTTCAGAACGCATATGTGCATGGTTGTTGTCGAAGTTGCGAACACGATGTGGTGTCAAAGTGGACACTGGGCTTGCTAGTCAGGCCAGGCCCGGGCATTTTTGCGAAGTTAGGAAGGGTAAGAAAAAGAAACGCAAATGGTTCATGACAAAAGAAAAACTGCTGTCACGATCCGTGGCACAAAGCTATAGTTCCAGAGATCGGGAAAAGGAACGTCGGATCAGGTCTTTGCTTGTCACGTCTTCCCCAAAAAAAGACAGTGCTTACTCTCACACTGTAAGAGGAATAGGTGGGAGGGTACGTAGGTACAAGGGTGTAACGCCTAGGACTGACCAGCTATTTACTTCAAGATCGCTTAGGTACCTTGGTGTATTTCCAGGGCGCCAACTGGCTTGGCTTCGACCTCAACCCAATCATGAACCCTAGCACACATCCTCTGTTGTGTGTCAACCAGTCAGACAAGCACCACCCGAAAAACGACGAGAATGAAAGCGAAGAAAGCCATCTCCGGACCGAGAGCAACAAATATGATATAACTGATAGAAGACATGGCTCTGATGCAAAAGAATACTCATTGTTGCGCTTATCAAAGCCAACGAAAATGCGTACACCGATCATGTCGTCGGGGAAAAAAAAAGGGGGGGGGGGGGGGGGGGGAGTGGTGGGGGGTTGCAACCAAAGTGTATGTTGTAAACGTTGTAGATGTGTACCTAGCGAGGGCTTAGATTCAGGCAGTTCGGACTTTCCTACCTGATGTGGTTGAAGGCGTTCTTCCCTTGCTCACAAGCGCTGCCATAGCACCTCTGACAATGCGTTGCAGCTGTGTTGGACACTCGCCAATGTTCACTGCCTATATGAGTTACAAATAATGTCACTGTGGATTTCGTCGATGGTAACGTCTCGGTAACAAATGGGATGTAACAGCCCCGTTACCACCAACTGAGCCAGATTCGTTGATTTGCACAGTTCAGATATTCCGGTGCTAATGTCAGCGAGGAGCTGTGGAAAAAGACGTTGGGAGGCATTTTGTGCGATCAATTTGGTTTTGGCAGTGGTAACCCAAGACCCCCGGCGTCAAATTCCGGATGTCTACACTCCCGAGCCCGCCACAATTGTAATGGCTAAGGCAGAGACAGCCATATCACATATCACACTCCCGTTTGCAGCCTCTGAAGGGCCGGGATAACAGCGCAGGTAACGGCAATTGGATGGCCTTGTCATGATCGCCGCCCAACGTTCTGATGCTTCCTGTATCAACAAGGAACAGTTGCGCCCAGAAACGCCAGATTGGGTACGCTCCGGCTGGGTATGCAACCAAGTCCAGGGTCATGACCCAGCAGCGCGGGATAAGGAAAAAGAAAGAACTGAAAACGCGGGGGCGCTCCTGTTTGTTTCGACAATGCGGGTTTTAAGTCTCAGGCACGCATGTAAAGTGAGGTGAACTCGACGAAGATCGCAGCCGCCTCATGGGCGTAGGACAATCAGCAAAGGGCGCAATTTCGTCGGTGATTCGAATTCCTCTCGGCAAGACTGGCCTTGCAAGTCCGTCAGATACGAACGGTACCCCTGGTGGCACAAAACGGTTCATGCGCAACGCACATGGTTTAGGTAACGGTTCGAGCGCATTGGGACGTTGAATTCCTGTTTCTAAGCCCACTGCGGAGAAGCCTTTAAGGGAGCGATGGCTAGGATGACGGCTTTGACGCGTTAAAGTGCCCGTAAGGGTCGTTCAATGGACCGCTGGTGCTTGAGCAGCAGCGAGCACAGTCGAGAACAGTGGTTGAGAAGTGATCGTCCGGCCAGCTGGGACATGGGGACATGGGGCAGCCATGACGTATGTACACTGGAAGCAGTCAAGCATGATCCAAGGACAGACCGCAAGTGGCCGTAGCGATCCATCCCAACCGTTGTTGAGTTCAGGCTGTTGCGGAAAGACAGGGCCTGCATGATCGAGCGGGTTGAAACCAGTAGGGTGTGCCGGAAACCATGCTGTCGATGTCTCGGGAGGGTGGCTAGAGACGGTGGGCTCGCCCGTCGTCCAGCGGGCATGGTTTTAGAGTGTCTTGCTTTCCTTTTTCCTTCCTCAGTGGGCTGTTCAGCAACAAGGACAACCCAGAACCATCAGCCAGGCAGATGCTAGTGTGATAAAAAGCGGGCGCAGGCCGTGTCTCTGTCAAAAGCTGAGCTGGGTATCAATATTACCAGGTACCAGGTCTGGTTTGTTTGTCAAGCCACGTGCTGCTCTGGGACCGGAATTTGACCGAGTCAGCTGGCTCCCAGCTATCTGGGTAGGATATCCCATTTGTTTCCATGGCTGGCAATTGAAATGTCGAACGGTGCAATTACCAAGGTGCATTGAAGGCCGTGACGAGCCGTCGAATGTCAACCAAATGCCCCTCGGAAGTGTATAGATGCTCGTCGGTAATGTGGGCGAAGAAAATCCCGTGGACCCATCGATCAGAGGCGTCCGGCTACCGTACACGGCTGAACCATAATTTCGGGTCGGCGGCGCTCTGCAATTTGCGTCGACGTGGGAGTCGAAATTGGGGTGGAACTGTTGATGTGGAAGTGGCGAGAAGAAGGAAGAGAATGGACGTTGTGGTGATGGGAGCTGGGGATGATCTGCAGGCCCGCGGCTCGGGCGTCTGGCACCCAAGCCCGAATGCCGAAGTGATGCTGCTCTCACTGCAGGTGGCGCCTGCCAGCAGGCAATCAGTGCAGCCCCAGATGACAGCGGCCCGGTGACAATCACTGGGCGGCGCACCCAAACAACGTTCTGACGTCTCGCACCACCTTCCATCATTTGAAACGCAAGGAACCTTGAAACTCAACGGGAACACAGGACTTTTATTCAACGTCACAACGTCGATTCGCTCTTTCAGGTCTTTCACCCAAGACATCATCATGTCACTCAACCACCGCCGCTGACGAGACGACTGTTCTCCGCTTGCCCAGAGCGCCAAAGGCAGGATGCACTCAGTCACCACAACGACCGAGTCAAAGAATTGTTGAAGGCTTGGCTGACTTCAGTTCCTCTAGGAGGCACAAGAACTTCATTGCCAAATGCAACAAAAAAAAAAAAAAGAACAAAAGAACAAAAAAAAAGGGAACAACAACAAAGAAAAGCGAAAGAAAAGGCCCCAGCCCACGCAAAGCCAAATATCCGTCAAAGTACAAATGGCTACCTTTTTCTTCCAGTCCTCACTATCACTGGAAACTCGACATCATCCGGCTGTTGTATGCCTGGGCTGCATGCCAGCAGCTATCGCCCATCTCCAATCCTGCTCCAGAAGAAGCCACTACCTCCACCTAACCACTCCGACCACCGCCTCCTCCCAAGCTGAACTTCCAAGGACGAGAATCCCAGAGTCGTGCCACTTTTGGTTCTTTACTTGGTGCAGGGCTTCCAGGCGAGGTTGATCTGCTGAGTGAAAGCGACGGTGGCATCGTCATCGGTGATCTCGCCAACAGCGCTGGAGTTGGAGCTGGTTAGCGCGATGCGGTTGTTGACGTTGAGGATACCGTTGGAGCCGCATGGCGAGTAGATGTAGCTGGCAGTCGGGACCTTGTCGGTCTTGGTGTACACCTGGCCCTCGGCCCAGATGCCGCCACCACTGATGGTGGTCTGGGTGGTGGTAGTGTCTGAAGGCGCCTGGCTAAAGTAGTAGGTGCTGAAGAAGGTGCCGGTCACGCCGGGCTCGAGGAAAGCGTAGCCGTGGTACGTGCTCTCGAGTACGGAGAACTGGAAGCCACCGGGGTACTGCGCATCATTAGTTCCTTGACTCGGTCTGTCGCGTATCAGACATGGTCAAAATGTTGGATGACATACTTTGAGGTTCAGGTGAAGCTGGCAGTTCTTGGTCCTCTCTGTCGGGTTGTACCCTTTGCCGATGTAGACCTGAAATCTATCAAAGCCAAAGGTGATGACCTTGGATTTTTGTCCAAATCAGTATCGGTCGCCAGATTCGATTTACATACTTGGTAGCCTTCCAGGACAGGAAGGTCAACCACACCGTGCTATTCTACACTGCACGGGTGCCGTTGTTACGACGTACCGTCTTGTCCGGAGAGATGCTGGTGGACACGGTGCCTTGCGGGCAGCCGTTGCCGGAGAAGGTGGCGCTGGCGATCTGAATCTGTTTGGGATCCGGACCATCAGCCCAGCCATCGGGAGAGGGCTGGACAACACCCAAAGGTTTGGCGACAGCGAGAGCGGGGAGGAGGTAGGCGACGGAGAAACGCATTTTGGCTGATTGTCAAAGATGATCGTTGAAAGGGATCAAATTGGTCACTTGAGATCAGGAAAGATTTGAGGGCTTTGTGGTTTTAGATGGCTGGAGAAGGCTGCTTTGATGCAGGAAATCAAAGCCATCTCGTCGTGGGATACCGCCGCCCTTTATACTCATGTCGGAGGCGAGCCCGTCTCTTCCTCTTTGGCGTTCTCTTCTGACTTCTTCCTTCTCATCCCCGCGATCAGCTTCCGGAGATAGAGGCTCTTGAAAAGCACCATACATGGCATCCCTGGTTTGGCCACTGTGGTGATGCTAACCTGTCGCCAAGAACGCATGACCTTTCGACTATTCGCACCGGTACCAAGTTGCTTAAGTTTCCTTCAACGCTGACTCGGTCCCAGCCTCAAAGAGATCTCAATCCTTGACTGCCAATATTGATGATTGTTTTGGTTCTCCCGTCCAGAGCCGAAAAGGACCGCGCTAAAACCGATATCTGAGGTTGACAAGACTCATGGGTCGCTGCAGCGAATTTGCGGATGAAGTGAGGTTAAATGAAGCGCATATTAAAGCGGGACATCTGCCTTTTGAAGGGTCACCTCATCAGGATGTCGTACCAAGCTTTGGCCGTGCTGATACGAAGGCTACTGGCCTTTGCTTCCTCACAATATCCCGTCGGCACTTTAGTCTAAAGTTTTGAGGTATCCAGGGACCGTGATTCCCTTTTTACGCTTCCCCAATTCCAGCCTTGCTCAGTAGCTGCAACGCCCAGCTCTTCCATCTTTGATCGAGACCATATCGTCTGATCATGGTTCTTTGTGTGGTTCACGAGGGCCGATGTAACCTGGCAGCGTGAATACCAGATCCGGTCGCTGGGGAACAACCTCTATGTCAACAACATTCCGGAAGGATGTAACACACCCCGTCGCAGCGTGACACCTGCGTGCCGTTCCCATGGTGTTCTCTACGAAGTCTGGGGCTATCGAATAGCTCGAACGTAGAGACCTGCGACTATTTTCAGGTAGGGACAAAGGGAATTAAAGGGTATTTCTCGGCACGTTCAACAACACTTTTCCAAGTCAACTGACTCTCGATATTGATGCTATTTTTACTTTCGTTGAACACTGCACTTTATCTGCCACTGGTCAAGAACTATACTCAATATATCGGCGTGCTGCGTTCGCCAGGCATGACAGCCGAGTTGCTCCCTCTGTTTCGGCCGACAGATCATATCTAGGCTTTTAGTTACACGCCACAGTTCCTTGGTCCTACTGGTGTCGACCTCTTGTGGCCATATGTGCCGGACGATACAGCCATAGCCACCATTGCTTGACGGCTCCATCTTCCGGAACCTGAACACTTACATAATTCGCATCTTGAAATGGCACCATTGGCCAGTGGTAACGACCAAACCAACACAAGTCCTTTGAGAAGCTTCAACACCGTCTCTCTTTGCTACCTTGGAAAGTATTCCGTTCCTAAGCCCGTTTACCTAATAGGCAACAACATGGCCGCTATGGTACAATACTTACTATTCTTCGGACGAACCCCCGGGGGACTCCCAGGACGTCGTGGCGTGGGTTTGAGGACGTTATCGAGGTCCTTCATTGTTTGTATTCTCTTGGCTCCACTCGGGGCAAGGATAGGAGAGGTGTAGAATCGAAACACTCACCTCATCTCTGACTTCGCTAGTATACACAGGCCGGTCCTAACGCCGGTGCATCCACTGGAAAGATAGTACCCAAAAAACATCGTATCAGCATATCCTGCAATCACATACTCCTCCTCGGGGTCATGGCCGTGGTTCTTCCATGTGCCTGAGCCCTGCATCTCGGTTGCAGGAGTTTTGCACTTTACAGTTTTACGCCTCAGCCACTTCCGCTCTTTCTTGGCTGCTTAGAGGTATCCTGCTCATTCTTGGAACATGGGGGAATGCGTGACCTACATGTTCTGCTTTGTGATGCCTCCCACCACCCAAGAGAAGCTTTTTCCGTGTTACAGGTACCCAAAAGGCTTGTAGCTATCCCGTCGATGCTACTCTTTCAAAATACCTGGGACTATACTGCTGTAGGAGGGAGACAAAAATAGCTACACATAGATTGGGACTGGCAAACGGGTTAGGGTGAGATGGTGGCTTGCGCGCCCACCGGGTACGGATCGATGAACCCTCACCGGAGAGTAAAAGTCTCCAAAGCTTTGAAGGAGACCAGAGCAGTTAAAGAACAACAGACTACCTACAAACCCGCGCAGCTATCTGACACATGGTTGATGATTGGTCTGTAAGAGTTTCTAGATTGTGCAAATTGGAAAGCTAATGAGGAATGATTGTAGTTATATTTCTTCTCGATCTGATTTCCACGCGAGTTTCCCTATGCTCCCAAACAACTTGAAGGTAAGTATTTGACCAAGACGCAAAGAAGCTGATCAGCTCGAGACTGAGACCAAGGTATGGGTGAGGTCGGAACGGCTACGCTAAGCGTCTTCTCCTGGTATTCCAAGGAAGCTACTATTGAATAGCAATCCAATGCTCACAAGTTGAAGCTGAGCACAACCATAACCACGAACCATAGATCAGCGATTTGAGAACCATGACAGAAAAAAAAAAAAAAGAAAAAAAAAGGAAAGAAGAAAGAAGTACCTCCGGCTGGTTGTTACAGTTGCAAGGGGTAAGTGGTTTCATGCTCTCTTTATTACTGTCCTACTTAGAGTAAATATTATGCTTGCATACATTGCAAATATCTCCAGCAGTCTAGACACAACACTCGATAGCAATTTTCCACATCTTTTCTTGCTCAAACCTTATGCTCACTTCCAACTTCTCCCTTCCCCCTCTTCTAATGACCCCTAAACAACAGCTTCCTCATTCTTTCCCGCCAAAGCTATTCGTTCCTTCTTCTCGAAAGCTCCATCCAAGTTTAGCTTCTCATGGTCACCCCTGGATTAAAACGACTAAAAAGTTACCTATGCACATAGGTACAACGATGATCACTGGCGCATAACCATCGAGTGAAACCCATGGTTCCCTCAACCCTGGCTCAGTCTCACTCGTGTCATTGGTCGTACACTACAAACAGGTGCAATACCACGTTGATCATTCGATGATCCGGGACGCTTTGGCCGAGACCTGGAGGGTGTGAGGGGTGCGGGGGATCTGTAAAAGCTTCGACGTTGCATTGTGAGACAAAGGGTCCCCGTTGGGGAGGGGAGCAGAGTTGGAGAAACAACAGGACAGAGTTGGGGAAACGACAGGAAACCTGACCCCCTCCCCAACGGGTAGAGCTTGTTTTCGTAATACCTCTCTAAAGGTACCTATTAAGCATACAGATCAATGCTGGAAAGTTTGTTAGCGTGTTACCCGCCCCACATTATTCAACAGGGGGGGTTGCAAGCTCGGACACATTTATCTACAGCCTCTAATTGGCTGAAATCGCTTAATTTCAAAGTGAGAAAGAGTTAACAGACAATATAGAAGCTCTTACATACACACCCTTTATTTCGCCAGCCGGGGTACTAAAATCACCCAAATTATTACTTATTACCTTCTATAATTGGTAAAGTTATAGTGTACTTATAGGGTATTCGAATTTATTTAACTAATTAGATTTTAGGATTACTCGTTAAAACAATTAGTAAATTAACAATTTTTCTAAAAATTATAATTCTGATTAGAAGTATATAGATTACCTAGATTACCTAGATGGATTTAAAAAGTAGTGTAAATACTGGATTTTGATTAGAATCGACGAAATTTGAAATTCTAAAAGTAAATGTTTACTTCGCGTACCTACTACCTTCTAGCCTATGTACGTAAAAAAAAAATAAATAATTAGTTAATTATATATAACCTTTTCCCGCCCTTTTTCTTTTAAATTTACTTTTTTATATATAACCCTTTTATTAACCCTCTTTTATTTTAGTACTCTATTAATTCCCCTAGATTATTAACCCCCTTTAAGAATTTTAATATTAAAATAAGGATAATAATATTAAATATAATAATAAGGAGAGTTTTATTTATATTAGTGATTTTAATTGTAGTTATAGTAAGTATAGTACCAACGGCGGTAGTATAGTTAATCTGTTATATAATGTGTAGATTCTTCTATTTAACTTTGTATAGGGTAAGGTATTTAGAGTACGTTGTACTACTAATATTAATTAGTTTATGTCACAGGGTTAGCCTGTGTGCCTTATGCCTAGTGCCAGCGTACAGCAGCTTCTAAGATTGCCGTACACTGTCATCACCGCCGGCAAGCCGACTATTGCCGGTAGCTGATTGGTCAGAACGCTGCTTGCCGCGGGTCTATTAGACCCGCCGCCGGTTGCCTTTATAAGGCCAGCCTTCTAAGCATTCGGCTATACTTCTCTTCCTTTCTCCTTCGTATAATTATGTATAATTATATTTACTATTTACCCTTTGCCCGTGATAGTTAATTACACCTTTTAATTATTATATTTATAGCGCAAACCTATTTTCTTTCATCGTATTATTAATTCTCAATTAGCGTGCGTGTAGGAATCGCCTCGCTTGTCGAATCGCCGAGTCTAGCACCCCAAACACCGACAGTCGTAAATTACAATAATCGTAATTATAATCTCGCTCTCTTTATTTAGTAAATAAGGGTAAGCACTCTTTATTTAAAGGATAAGAGACTACTTCGTACGATTACCTTTCTTATATTTTACAACGAGAATAGTAATTATATATCCTTCTCTCCTATTAATAATACCGACGATTTTATTAATTTCAGTACCCCTCTTAAGAGTATACTATTTAATTTGAACGATATTTATAAAGTATTTAATAAAATTATTAATACTACCGATATTACCGTTTATTAAACCGTATTCGTCGAACTCCTTCCCTTAATAATAATTAATAATCTTTTTATTAGTATTAGTAATAATAAGGAAAAGAAAATTATCCCTCGTACTTACCTTAATATAATTAATATTATTATTTAGGACCCCGCTTTCTAATTAATTATCGCCCCGCTTAGTCGCCTTCATTATAATAATCTTATTTAATACGAAGATGTTACTATTAATTTTGAATATAGTAAGGATGAATTAAAGATTGCTTGTAAAGTAATTACTAGAGTTTAAAATAATTTCGATTAGAAGAACCTCGACTATTTTAATTTAATAGTTAAATTTAATAACCTCTAAAAGAAATACGATAACTTTAATATAGACTATACCGCTTTTAAATTTTATAGCGCTAATATTCGGTCCCTATTCGATAATTTTAATAAAACTACCGGTATTAATACTAATAAAATATTATTTTTAAAGTAGATTATAAAGAACCCGCCGATTTTCACCGGCAAGGAGAATGTTAGTACGGCCCGTAGATATAAGATTTTTAAAGTATAGTATTTCTATATTTTATTTTAATAGAAGTACGACCCCCTCCTTTATATTAATAAGGATATTAAAATTATTTGTACTACTATATTATTAGGTCCCGAAATCTTATTTAGTATTTAAAATAATTTGGATATTATTTAGAATAGAGGAAATGTGGATTTTTAATATTAAAAGACCGGTATTGAATTTATAGAATATTTAATTACCTATTTCTAGAATATTAATTTAAAGATAGACGTTAGCCGTCGTTTTAAAGAATTTTTTATAAAGAATATATCTTTTATAGAATTCGAATTGGAGTTTACTAATTTAATAAACCTCTATAGCCTTAATAACTCTATAAAAGTTTACTACCTATATAATAAAATTAATAAGCGCCTCCGTAACGCTCTCGCGTATTACGACCTTCCCGAGGTTAACGATTTTAAAAAATAGTTTACAATCTATTGTATTATTATAGGTAATTTAGAAGACGCTAATTACCGCTATAAAATAAATATTCGTATTTTCGGTAACGGCGCCCTTATTAATAATAATTTTAGTAGTACTAATACTAATACGGGTAATATTAATTCTTATAATATTAATAATATTCCTATTAGCTAGGGTAGTAATAAAATAGACTTCAACGCCGTTAACCTTACCGTTTTTATTTATAAGAATATTCTCAACTAACGTACCTATAAAGGTAAATGCTACTATTATAATAGTAATAATTATATTGCTTATAATTACTTCGCCTCGGTTAATTATAATTCTTAAAGTCTTTAATATAATAAGGGTAAGAAGAAGAAAAGTAGAGGTAAGGGTTGCTATAGTAAAGAAGAGGTCCGCGCTATTAGAGCCGTGCCTGTTGCTAATATTATTATTACTACTCCCGCTGTAACCCCTACTACTATTATTACCGCCGGCGACGAATACTATAATAATCCGGAAAACGTTTAGCCTCTATACCTAATTACGTATAAAAGCCTTCCTTATTGTTATTATAGAAATAGGTTTTAAATTCTATAGAGTTAGAGGGTTTGGAGGAGGTTAGAATATAATTATTAAATAGTTCTACTTCCCTAAATTTAATACTCTTATTTTCTTATATTATAATTGGATTGTACAAAGATTATTATATTACCCTTATCGATTTTGGCTATTCCGTATTCGCCTTTATCGACTATTCTTTTATAATTAAATATAACCTTCCCCGTTTTCGCCTCCGCCGGGTAAAGAAGTTCGTCCTTATTAATAGGGTAATTAAAGGTATTATTTTTAAAGGAGTAATAGTTAAACTCCGGATTAGATATTATAGTAAAATAATTACTTTTTTAATTTATAATATTTTAAAGAACTATCCGGTAATTTTAGAATTCCCTTAAATATAATACTATAAGTCCGAAATTAATTACGACTGGTATAGAATATATTTTATTAACTCTATTTATTAAAGTTATTATTTACCTATTAAC